CCCCTCTCTGCCCCCGGGAGGATTCGGGGTCCCCTCGGTGCCCCGGGAGGATTCGGGGTCCCCTCTCTGCCCCCGGGAGGATTCGGGGTCCCCTCGGTGCCCCGGGAGGATTCGGGGTCCCCTCTCTGCCCCCGGGGGGATTCGGGGTCCCCTCTCTGCCCCCGGGAGGATTCGGGGTCCCCTCTCTGCCCCCGGGGGGATTCGGGGTCCCCTCTCTGCCCCCGGGAGGATTCGGGGTCCCCTCGGTGCCCCCCGACTCTCCCGGGTGCTCCGAGCGTGGATCCCCCGAGGGGCTGAGCAAGGGAAAAACCCCAAAGCGAAACTGGTTCAATAACCACAACTGGTTTGAGAAATAACCACAACTGGTTTGAGAAATAACCACAACTGGTTTAAGAAATAACCACAACTGGTTCAATAACCACAACTGGTTTAAGAAATAACCACAACTGGTTTGAGAAATAACCACAACTGGTTTAATAACCAGAACTGGTTCAATAACCAGAACTGGTTTAAGAAATAACCACAACTGGTTTATTAACCACAACTGGTTCAATAACCACAACTGGTTTATTAACCACAACTGGTTTATTAACCACAACTGGTTCAATAACCACAACTGGTTTAATAACCAAAATTAGTTTAATAACCAGGATTGGTCTAATAAATAACCAGAATTGGTTCAATAACCAGAACTCGTTCAATAACTAGAATTGGTTTAATAACCAAAATTGGCTTAATAACCCAAATTGGTTTATTAACCAGGATTGGTCTAATAAATAACCAGAACTGGTTTGTTAACCACAACTGGTTTAATAACCCAAATTGGTTTATTAACCAGAATTGGTCTAATAAATAACCAGAACTGGTTTGTTAACCACAACTGGTTTAATAACCAAAATTGGTTTATTAACTAGAATTGGTCTAATAAATAACCAGAACTGGTTTATTAACCAGAACTAGTTTAATAACCAGAATCGAGCCAGAGCCGCAATAAAAACCAGGATTTCGTTAAGTTGCAGTGGTTTTGGTTAAGTTGGAGTGGTTTTGGTGAAGTTTGGGTGGTTTTGGTTAATTTTGAGTGGCTTTGGTTAATTTTGAGTGGTTTTGGTGAAGTTTGGGTGGTTTTGGTTAAGTTGGAGTGGTTTTGGTTAAGCTGGAGTGGTTTTGGTGAAGTTTGGGTGGTTTTGGTTAATTTTGAGTGGCTTTGGTTAATTTTGAGTGGTTTTGGTGAAGTTTGGGTGGTTCTGGTTAAGTTGGAGTGGTTTTGGTTAAGTTTGAATGGTTTTGGTGAAGTTTGGGTGGTTTTGGTTAAGTTTGAGTGGTTTTGGTGAATTTTGAGTGGTTTTGGTTAAGTTTGGGTGGTTTTGGTTAATTTTGGGTGGTTTTTGCCGGGTTTTTTTGGTTTTCTCCCCACTTTTAAAAATGTTCCGAATTCCTTCCCCCCCTCCCCCTCCCCGGACACGAAACGAATTTCGGAAAAATGGGGAAAAAATCCGGATTTTGGAAAAATTGGAGAAAAATCCGAATTTTGGGGTTCCCTGGGGCTTCTCAAGGCTCTGGGACCCCCCAGGGGGGTCTGGGACCCCTCAAAGTTCTGGGACCCCCCAAAGGTTTTGGGACCCCCAGGATTTTGGGACCCCCAGGATTTTGGGACCCCCAAAGGTTTTGGGACCCCCCAAGATTTTGGGGCCCCTCGAGCCTTCGGCCTCTGCCCCCCCTCGGTTTGTCCCCCCCGGCCCCGAGGGGCAGAACCCCCAAAATGACCCAAAATGACCCAAAATCCACCCAGAGCCCCCCAAAACCCCCAAAATGACCCAAAATCAACACAGAGCCCCCAAAATGACCCAAAATGACCCAAAATCCACCCAGAGCCCCCAAAATGACCCAAAATGACCCAAAATCAACACAGAGCCCCCCAAAACCCCCAAAATGACCCAAAATCCACCCAGAGCCCCCCAAACCCCCAAAATGACCCAAAATGACCCAAAATCCACCCAGAGCCCCCAAATGACCCAAAATCAACACAGAGTCCCCAAAATGACCCAAAATGACCCAAAATCAACACAGAGCCCCCCAAAATGACCCAAAATGACCCAAAATCCACCCAGAGCCCCCCAAAACCCCGAAAATGTCCCCAAAATTCCCCCCAAATTCCCCGAAACGCCCAGAAGCAGCCCAGCCGAGCTTTTCCATGCGACTTTATTTGATTTCTTTGATTTTCTTTCTTTGATTTTCTTTCTTTTCGCGTTGACGCAGAACAACATCGAGAACGGCCGGGGCGAATAAGGCGATTTTCCTTTTTTTTTTTTTTTTTTTTTTTTTTATTTTTTTTTTTTTTTTTTTTTTTTTTTTTTTTTTTTTTTTTTTTTTGAGTTTTTTTAAATTTTTTTTTTGAATTTTTTTTGGGCTTTTCCACGATTTTTATCATTTTTGGTGATTTTTTTTAACCCCTTCCCACCCTCTCCTCTTTCCCGCCCCCGGCACGGGAGGAGCCGCGGGGGCGGCACCCGACGATTTATTCGGATTTTTCGGGGTTTTTCTGGGTTTTTTTTGGTTGGTTTTGGGGTTTTTTGGGGGTTTTTTTGGGTTTTTTTTTTTTGTGGCCTCGGAGCCGCGTCCCCGTCCCAACCTCGCCCCAAAAATTCCAAAGATTTTCGGTGGTTTTGGGTCAACCTCGGCTTTTTAATTTGAAATATTTAACATTTTTTTAAAGCTCTTTTGTGCTTTTTTTATTTAATTTTTTAATCCATTTTGAACTTTTAATTTTTCATTTTTCATTTTTAACTTTTAACTTTTTAACTTTTAACTTTTTAATTTTTCCTTTTGAACTTTTCCTTTTTCAACTCGGAACAATTTTTAATTTTTTGAACTTTTCCTTTTGAATTTTTCATTTTTCACTTTTAAACTTTTACATTTTTAACTTTTAATTTTTAACTTTTCCCTTTTAACTTTTCCTTTTTAACTTTTCCTTTTTCTTCATTTTTCAACTCGGAACAATTTTTAATTTCTGAATTTTTCCTTTTGAATTTTTCATTTTTCTCTTTTTTTTTTGGAATTTTCGTCTCATTTTCGGTGCCGAGCGCAGAAAATTCCGGCCGGGAGCTCCGCGGGCCCTCGGAGGAAAAGGAAGAAAAGGAGGAAAAAAAGGAATAAAACCCAAAAAATCGGAATTTACGGGGTTTTTCTGCTTTGGTTTCGCACTGGAGGCAAAGGGGGGACGGAGCCCAGGAAAATCGGGATAAAATCCAGGAATTCAAATTAAAATAATAATAATTATTATTATTACTATTATTCCCAGGAAAATCGGGATAAAATCCAGGAATTAAAAAAAAAAAATTGTTATTATTGCCAGCAAAATCGGGATAAAATAAAGGAATAATAATAATAGTAATAATAATAATAATAATGATAATAATAATAATAATAATAATAATAATAATAATCTTATTCTCCTTATTATTATTCCCAGGAACATCGGGATAAAATCAAGGAATAAAAATATTATTATCAATATTACTAATAATACTAATATTATTAATATTATTAGCAATAACAATATTATTATTAATATTATCACTAACATTAATATTATTAATATTAATAATAATATTCTCAGGAACATCGGGATAAAATCAAGGACTATTATTATCATTATTATAATTATTATTGACAAATGTAAATGATTTTTCTGGGCTCTCTCCGTTTAGTTTTGGGGTTTTTCCTTTTTTTCCTCAGGGATCTCCCCAAAAACGGGACCAGAACCCAAAAGCGATTCCAGATTTTGGGGATTTTGGGGATTTTTGGGGATTTTGTGTTTTTTAATCAGTTTTTAGTGCTGTGGTTGTTGGTTTTTTAAATTAATTATTCTTTAATTTTATTTTAATTTTTTTGAGCTGCCGGATTCCAGCCCCGGGATGCGGCCGGGGGAAAAAGGAGGGAAAATGGGGAAAAAGTGGGAAAATGGGGAAAAAGTGGGAAAATGGGGAAAAAGTGGGAAAAAAGGGAGGGAAAACGGGACAGGGATGGGACAGGAACGGGACAGGGACACGGGACACGGGACAGGGACACGGGACACGGGACACGGGACACGGGACAGGGACACGGGACAGGGACACGGGACATGGGACACGGGACACGGGACACGGGACACGGACACGGGACAGGGACA